ATCCTTCATTCCTTATATTTGCTATATTATTTAAAAAAAATAATGTAAAACAATAACAATATACAAGGTAACCAACACTTTTATGTTATTCAGTGTTAAGCCTCAAATTAATCTCTCTCAATATCCAGCAATTTTTGCTAGTGGTCCTGCTCCTGTATGATAGAACTCATTAGTTTTCAACACAAAGAAGTACATAAGTGTAGGCTTCATGTCTGTTTCATTGTTGAAGGATTTCCCACAGAGGTGGAACCGTCCAGGGAATGGAACAAGTGGTTATTTGTGGGTGCTCGATTTGGCAAGCACAGTGTCTCCAAGTCACTGAATAGTAGCTATGATTGTTTTTACTACATTGGGTCTCTGATTGTCGTGGAGGTTATTGCACACCCTCAACCAATTCTGGTTCCTTGTTCTGCATTGCATATTGCAAATATTGTAAGTACAGGTCCTCACTATGGTATTGCCAGGTAAAAGTTGCTCTTAATGTAACACTTGCTGACTAGTTCACCAAGCAAAGAACATGATCTTGGTAAAGATGTGGTCTTAAGCTGGAAGGCATGAGATTATATGGTGGTGTGTAATGTCTGGTATGCTTGGAGGTGTCATACTGGACTCACTTTTTGTCACTTATGAGCACCCGACCAAACATTGATGCGTTGCAATGCTGAGGTTGCAGTAACAAATAAGCTGTCACTTGTTGGTTCTTGTTTGCTGCCAACAGTGTATGGGCATCTACTTATACATCTTCCCTATGCAGTGCAGGTGAAGCCTGATTGTTTCCTTGGTTTCCTGGATGTATTTTGCAGATTCACCACACATTTGACTGCTATTCTCTACAGTTGCCTTCAGATCCTCCTCATCCAACACTTGCAGTCATCCAATGCAAAATTCATCAGAATGGCTCAAATCTCCTGACCTGAATTTCTGGAGCCATGTGTTCATTGACACCATCTTCCTGAAATGCCTGATATATTTAGCCACTTGATGTAGCTGCTGATAAGCCCACCTTAAGGTCATGCAGCAAATAATCACAAATGAGCTGCAATGATATCTTCATTTCCATTAAACATTGGATGAGTTGTAATTGCCGTGTGTGTGAAAAATGTCTGTATCAGTGCAGGTCAGAGGTCTCACTAACCTTCTATCACTTCTCCAGCATGTAAATCTCTTTAATTCCTCTTATGATCACTTCATTAAATGAGGCATCAGTAACAACAAGAACATTTTTGGTTACCTTGTATAAAATTGCGCTTTTTAGGAAATAAAAATAAATTTTTTTCTATCATACTTTAAAGCCAATTTTTGATTTTCTAGTCTCGATGACTTATTATCAGTCACATTATTCAGCTAAAAAATCATTTTTCAATAGTGAATAATCACTCTTGTACTTCTGATTATGTCAAGTAATCATAAAATACAGTAGTTTTGTCAGAAAGTCAGAAATTATGCTAAAAATCTCATAAATTTCATTTAAAGGTTTTTCCCCATCCACTCTATCTGGTAGTGCAAACAATAAAATTCTGAGAGTTATAATTTGTTCATTAGATGATTATATCACTTCAGCTTCAAATTTAAAAGAATCAAAATCAAACATTGAAAAAAAATTAGTTCATTGTATTGTATTGTTATCCACAGTGAATGTGAGTGCAAAATTTGAGTGGCATAGCTTATCAAGAAATAGTTTTAAATTCAGTTGCAGAGTTTGATCATAGCACCAAACATCATGAATGTGTGTAAAGTAAAAGTTTATAGAGAAGTGGCTAGTTTTAAAAAATAATTATAAGTTTCCTAATTAACATATCACTATAAAATTAAGAAAATCAACTTTTAAAATGAAATGCTGAGAAAAATATATATAAATTCATGAAATGGAAATGACATAGTAGATTTCGTTGCAGATAATTTCAAGTCTAATCATATCTTAAATACCTTAAGATTAAGGAAATGAACTGTAAATACAAAGTCTATGTATAAAAAAGGAGAGAGGAATAGGGCTTATAAAATGGCAAAGGAAAGCTGTAGTTTAATATCCTTAAGTAGTTATTTTCAGCCATGTGAGTGATATGATGACTAATCATAACCATTATTTTCTTTTGAATTATTTTATAGCAATGGGCAAAGGAAGAACCATTATTTTCTTCTCTTTTGGTTCATAATACAGCATATCTGTTTAAGTAGATTTTTTTTTTTTTTTTTTTTCAATTTTAAATTCTTTATTATTCTAGTGTTCAAAGAGGTAAGTAATTGTTTTGTAATTTGTGAAAATGTCAGAACTAATACCTATTTAGATGTTGAAATTTTAAAATAATAAACATTAGATTGTTGAAAAACCGAGTGATTTTTAAAAAGTCAGCAAAAAAAGACAAAAATTACATAAATTTCATAGGAATTTCCTTAAAAGGATTTTTTTATCTATCTGTTCGTCCAAATATAAAATTTTTAATTTTTTTTTTTTTTTTTTTTTTTTTTTTTTTTTGAGCAGAGATACGTGGAAAGAATCATTTCAACATTAAATTTAAAAAAAAAAATCTAAATCGAATTTAAAAAAAGTTTATAGGAGAGTAGCTTAAAAATTGATAGCAAATTATAACAAAAAATACCATGAGTGAGCAAAGTAAAAGGCTCATAATCAAAATTAATTCTTTTGCCAGCTTTTTGTTTTAAATAGAGAAAGTGTTTGTTTTCTTATCTGTCTTGGAAACCATTTTTCTATACATGTTTGTCTTACTTTAAAAGTTGAATATTAAGTTTATTTACCCATCCATAAGAAATGAAAAATTTTGCAGCAGCTCGTTTTCTGAATCTCATCTGCTTTCAGTACATTCTTTTATTAATACCACTGTTTCTTGAATGACCAAAAAGTGTACCTTATTAAATCAATAGCTTTTAACATTGAGCAGATCTCTGTACTGGCAATTTAGGTCCATTTTACTGCTTTCACAAACATCTGTAAGAAGAATGAGTGAACACTGTATTAATTATTTTAAAAGTGACTTGGATTTTTCACTTAACAGTGACTTAACTTTTAACTTCACCTAAAGTATTTAACATCATTTTCTTTTTTCACTTTTAAAGCATTTTACAGTTTAAATTTAGTAAGGTTTTTGAAATATGAAAAAGCACAGGTAGGAGCATAACTGTATTTACGGGTAAATGATTTTTTTAAAGAAAAAATTGAAGTATATATATATTTGTTTTTGGCATAAGTAAGGAAACATTTTTTAATACCACTTAAAATGTCAGAAGTACTTGTATACATGATTTTCTGAGTAAGTATTCTGAGATAAAATTTTTTGTCATTATATAAATTTGCTAACCTTTACTGAATATATTCATTACATATAAAGGTTACCTGCATGCTTGAATTTTCAAGTTTGAGGTATAAATAGATACATCTTAAGTCATGTAATTTGTGTAAGTAACTGATTATGCATTTGATATATTAGGCCATCTCATGAAGTTTACAAGCTAAAAACTTTAAAGTTGAGAACATTTTTTTAAAAATACTTTTGATTTGTGAGACATATGATACTAATAACCTTATTTTACCTGTTCATTTTGTAAAGAAAGTATTGCTGGTAGCTTAATTCTAATGCAAATTATCAAGAATTGGAGTTCTTGGCTGAAGTTTTGACAACCACTTTTGCAGAGCATAGGATCTTACATGTGAAATCTTTTTATTTATGTATAAAACTTTTATCTCATCTCTAAATCATAGCTTTCTGATAATCCAGGGGTTAATAGGAGATGATTGCATAATGTTGTTGGTCCTAAATTCAAATTCTGAATTTGATACAGACATTTGTCAAATATGACAAATACATGTTTCCTGTACAAACCTGTTAAACATACAAAATATATGTTTGATACAGATATTTGTCAATACAGGTATTTTTATGGAATGATGGAACTGTAAAAATCCATTAATTTGAAAGTTTTCTCAAATGTTTAGTATCATGACATAAGGAGTATGAGACTTTCAGTTTCACTCATCTGATGTGCTGTTGATTGAAATTTTGGTGGAGCTTTAGTCTGTAGCTCTTATGCATTTTGTCTAAATAATAATAATAATTAAACATTTCAAATCCTTTTTTACAAATAATAATATGTTTGACCATTATTCCATTGCATGATGACCAATTATAATACAATGGAATTATAATACTTAGCAATCACTAATAAGATTTCAGGACTTCGTGTATCACATTAGAGTTGACATAAAACAAAATTTCCATATTGTCTAATATGTTTGAAAACTAGCTTAAGTCTTTTTGCTTTAGCATCTGAATCAGAAAATTTATTTCACCGTGAAATATTTCAAGTAATATTTAAAAGGAAGTCATAATTCTTTAAGTGGAAAATAATATCATTTCACTTAATTGTGCTGATATTTATGCATTTTGAATTCATGTTAAGTGAAGTTTTCATGCAGTTCTATTCAGTCATAAATTCTTTGGTTTGCTAGAGCTATCAAATGCTAAAACTTTGTCATAGATTTGGCTTTTGAATCTTGCATGTTCTATAGTTTCTCTTATGTGAACTGTTAATTAGTTTCTAGAAGATAATTTAGTAAGATAGCTCCCCCTTTTTTTGGATAATCTTTATACTTTATCATAATGAATTAATCACTGTATGAAACTACAAATTTAGATTTATTTAAATAACATATAAATAAGCACCAGTATAGAAACTTACAAATAATTTGCTATTTTGATATGAAATTTGCATATAATGATTTACTATTTTTAAATAGGATTTGCACATTGTACATGAGCATTTACCACTGTATTAAAAGATCATTTTGCATATACTGTGGAGTTGCATTAATTTACACTTTAGGATTAGGCATTTGCTTGCACTTAATAGAATTTCAGATTACTTGCATTTAATAAAATTTGTGAAATTAATCAAAATTTCCGATGTAATTTTTTTTATTCATTCCAGTATTTGAACAATACTTAATATAGCAGATTTTATTTTCCATGTGTATAACATATTTTTAGGCATCTAAGTGAAAGTCAGAAAGAAAGTGCAGTTCAACGCATCCTTAACTTGAATAAGGTAAGATTTTTTTTTTTTTTTTTTTTAATTATTTTCTGAAGTGTTATAATATCCTATGTGTCTTTATAATATGCGACAAATATAAACAAGGTTAACTTAGTATGATGAACATATTCATAAGAGATCAGAGAATGTGCATTTAAAATTATTTTTGCAGTTATTTTCTGCATGAGGCTTGATTGATCTGATCTGTGTGGGTTAAATGCTAATTACATTTAAAAGCAATTTTTGTGAGGTTTTTAATTATGAAGAGAAAATCATATATGTACATATTTCAGCATTCTTTGCATAATATGATTTTCCTTGATTTACCGTATTTGACAGCATATAAGACACTTTTTTTCCTAAATTTGGTCTCAAAAAAGTTACCTGTGTCTTATACGTGAAGGATAACTTTCAATACTGAATGCTATTTTTAGCCTGGATAAAGGTCTAGACACACATAACTTTTTCTACATCTACCATAATTATTTTGCGCATGCATGAAATATCTGTTGCCAAAAAGTGCCAAAGCTCGAAGCTCATGTCGAAGTTCGAACAGGTTCGACAGTCACATTACGTCTATGTAGCCTTTCCTTCTTTACATAAGACTTTCTTTGACTCAGCCGACACATCGGTGCTACTCTGTATAAACGTGTCAGTATTGGTGCTTAAAACTATTTGTTTAAAAAAATACCCTGGAAAATATGACTACAGGAAACAAGAGATAATGCTATGCAATTCAGTGTAAACTAGGAGTGTTAAACTACGCCAAAGTGCATGGAAACAGAGCAGCAGCAAGGCATTTCGTTCCACCACCTACTGAAAAAATTATGCGTACTTGGCGACTGCAGGAAGATCAACTGAAGACTGCCAAAAAAAAACAAAAACATAACCTTCAATGCCCAGCTCCATCTTGGCCTGAACTTGAAAATGCCGTAAAATCTGGGATAAGTGTTTCAACCAAAATGATAATCAATGAGGCCAAAGGATTTGCAGAAAAACATTGGAATCAGAACTTTTCAGGGTCTGAGGGCTGGTGCTACAGGTTCATAAAAAGGTAAGACTTATCAATGCGCACAAAAACAACTATTGAATAGAAAATGCCAGCAGATTATGAAGAAAAAATACTAGCATTTCATAAGTTTGTTATAAATGCACGCAAGAAAACTTCTTTTGAGCTCGGTCAAATAGGAAATATGGAGGAAATTCCACTTACATTTGATGTACCATCCAATAAGACTCTGAGTATTAAAGGGTCTAAATCAATAACCATAAAAACCACATGTCATGAAAAAACCCAATATACGGTAGTTCTAACATGTTGTGCTGATGGCACAAAACTACCGCCGTTTTTCATATTCAAAAGAAAAACTCATCCGAAAGAAAATCTTCCAACGTGTGTCATTGTTCATGTTCATCCGAAAGGCTGGATGGATGAAGCTGAAATGAAAGTGTGGTTACAGAACGTATGGGCGAGGCGACCTGTTGGACTCTTAAGAAAACCCTCTGTTTTGGTTTTGGATCAGTTTAGAGCCCATAGAACTGAAACCATAAAGAATACCAGAAAGCTGATAATCAGATAGCTGTTCTTCCTGGTGGACTGACTAGCCAAAAGCAGCCTTTAGATGTATTGGTGAATAAGCCATTTAAGGAAAAAGTGCGAGAACGATGGAACAAGTGGATAGGAGAGCCACATCACGCCCTCACACCCTCAGGTAGAATGAAGCAATCCTCTGTTTCACAAGTGTGCGAGTGGGTAAAAAGATCTTGGGAGGACGTAAAGGCTGAAGTAATTGTTAAGTCCTTTAAGAAGTGCGGAATCAGTAATGCTCTTGACGGAACAGAAGACAACGCATTATTCAAAGAAGGTGACACTAGCGATGACAGAAACAGTAGTGAAGATGATATTCTTGTTTTCGATGATGATGATGATGATAGTGAAAAGGATTTTTATGGTTTTGAAAGTGATTAAAGTCTAATTTCATGATAGGCAATGTTTTCCTTGAATCTGTGTTTTTTGTTGTTTCTGCTTTATTTTGTATTATGTTTGATTGCTTGACGTTCATTCATTTATTCATTATTGAAATTTACATATCATGTTCAAAATAGCTTGCCGTTGGTTAATTTTTCTTAATTAAAAATATGTGTGGTAATTGTATTCAACGATTGTTTATTTGGCTTTTACGAAACGTGAGAACTGAGAGAAACCACATTTTCAGGTATTGTGGTACCGCACTGTCGCGCGGACTATTGAAACTTTTTTCCCTTGTGTGTGGCTTTCTAAATAAGGGTGCGTCTTATATGCCAGTGCATCTAATATGCTGTCAAATACGGTAATTGTCTTATTACCAAAGCATTCATGTCTTCAGATATATACATCTGTTTTTCATTATACATCCTGATAGATAAACAGCAAGAAGCTTCCTTTATATGTATACTAATATCTGATAATGAAGTTAAAAAATTCTGTTTAACTTTTTCCCTGTTCAGGGCAAATAATTAACCCAATAAAAGGTATGATCAATTTACATATTAAAAAGAAAAAATACAAACTGTTTTTGATCTATAGCTTTTTCTGCTTATATTTCAAGGAGTTTAAGGGATAGACTGAGAGATGATCATGATGTCTTGGCTAAGCAGTTAAAACAGCTGAATACTAGCAATTACTTTTGGGTTCAGTTCCTGGCAGCTAGGCTTTAATGAATGGAGTTCTTGTGGTTATAGCCCATGTGTAATGTGAATACAAGCCATTTTCCCTTGGATCAGCAGTTCCCAACCCCATCCCCCCAAAGGAAGAACTTTAAAATTAATTTTTTTCTCTATGATGGAGGTATTTAGTCCTACCCTAGGCTTAAAAGTTAATAGCACTTAGAAGTGTGTTAAGGGAGGGAAAAGAATATATGGTATAAGGAATTTAAAATTAAAAGAGATATCTAAACAATTGTGCATTCATTATCCATACAATGAAATTACATTTTAAAATGCCTGAAATTTATCATATCATCTGAATTTATTTTCATCTAGAACCAGTACACTTGATATTGTAAATACTTGGCCATGCATAAAAGTCCTAAATTTTAATAAATGAAACCATTTGCACAGCGGTAGACTTTATGTCATAAGAGCAGCAGTAAAACGATTCATACTGTAAACTTTGTTTCTTCAGTTCAGTTTAAATACTGTTACAGATTTTGTAGATATGTAAATAATTTTAGTGAAATTGTACGTGAATTGTAATATCTCTTGTATAATGGAACATGAAAGAGTGTCTCAGAGTGTGAGGCATCACTGGTAAAACAGGGTTACAAAGTCCATTTAGTCCATTTAGCATTGAGGTAAATATCTATCTCAGATTGATGCTATAGCACTAAAGTGGCAATGTTTATGGCAGTTAATTTTTGCCTCCAAACTTGCCGACATTTTGGTCTGATCCCTCTGTAACTGTAACTGATCCAATTCCCATGTAATTGTAAATGTATCTGGCTCTATGAACTATAACAATGCATGCTTTGCAGTAATTTTAAGAAATCAAAGGTACTGTAAATTTCTCGGTGGCTGATGGGAAAACTATATAACATCAGAGAGAACATTAGTTTTCAGTTTAGCTCCCAATATTGAGAGATAATTGTGCAAGCTTATGCATTTGAAGCTTTTTTATTGCCTTCCATTCAGCATTCTGGATTCTTAGTAGTTTGAAGTGGTGAAACTGATTGTGCTCTGTCATCTGTAAAGAGCCGTATGAAAAATTTTGTGTGTAAGTGTTTTGGGAAAAATAATTTTCATCAAGCTATCAATTGTTCTTTGTGCAGTCTGTTGTGCAGTCTTTGTGCAGTCATACAAACCTTTATGCATAAAAATCCTTAAGTTTAATAAATGAAATCATTGCATAACAGCAGACTTTATGCTGTAAGTACTATCTAATAATCATTTGTTTTTTGCTATTGGAAATTTTCATTGTTTATTATAGAAGGCAGTTCCAATTAAATTTTATTAACCATGTGTTTAACCTAACTACTTCAGTTCTAAATTCTGGTTCCATGTAGACAGTTAGGATATTTAGTTCGAAACTCAAAAGACGTTTTAAAATAAACTTTTGTTTAGTTCTTCAGTTAACAGAAACTATAGCCTGTGTAGCTACAGAAAAAATAATTGCTTCTTGCAGGATTAACAGAATGCAAAAATTAATTAATTAAAATTAAAATTCATTTGGTAAAGTCCTGCTGTAGGTTTTGGCTCAGACCCTCGAATACAGGAGCAACCAGAGCTAGCAAAGTCTAAAGACAACTCTGACAAAGCTGGAAGCTAATCAAGAACAGTTTGCAGTCAGTCAGCAATTGCTGCTCAAAACACTGTTTTGTTATTTTGTTGTTATACATTTACTAATTTGCATCTTATAGTGCATTTAAAGTGCTCTATTATGCAATCATAAATTTAAACTGAGAAAATGCAATAACTAATATAATGTATGAAAGTTTGACACTCGTGTGGTTGTATGTTTGTTCACTGTTTTTTAGTGTAGGTTCAATTGATGATAATTACAGTTGAGTGTTGTCTGCATCTTCTTGTTTGTTTTTTTTTTTTTTTTTTTTTTTTTTTTTTTTTTTTTTTAAGCATCTGTTTAAGCAGAGAAGTAGCTTTATGGAATATATATATCCTAATTTTCCTTACCCAGACAGATTTTTTATTCATCCTGCAAATTCAGCCTAATACTGGTAGACTAGTTTTGAAATGTGATTTTGAATTTAGTGGGAAATTCAAATCTTTGATCTCATATCTTTCCTGAACATTTGTGGAGCCTTTGGGAGATGCATATGGAACCCTTAGGACTTAATAGAGCACAAATTACAAACCACTGCATTAGATACTCTACAAAAGCATCTCTCCTAAGATAGTTGGTGTCGCATTTCTTTGTTGTAATCAGTTAACTTAATCTAAAGCTCAGTTGCTTGGTTGGTTTATGTGAACCAAAGTATGAACAGTTAAAATTAGCCCTTATGTTGTGGCATCAAATGCTATAATAATGAGAATTTAGCATAAATCTTGTATTTTAAAATCCAATTTATTATACTATATTCACAAAAAGTATAACAGCACATTTTAAGTATAGATATTCAAATATCCATAGAAATTATTTTTGTCTAGGAGCACTAGAGCAAAATAAGCACTTGATTGTGAAAATTTTGCTTTAAGGCATTGTTAATGCAAAGTTAATGTAATAATTATTGATTTTATGCTTCTGTAGTTGCATTAGTTTCTTGTAGTTGGACTATAAATGTTACATAAAAATTAATAAATATATTTTGTGAGATTGACAATTGTTAATACCGCAATATTTTATGTTTCAGAAAAATCTGCCTTTGGCAAATATAGCTAGAGAAGATTTGCCTAAACAATCATCTGTAGATTTTAAGAAAGTTTATGATTTCTTACAACGACAAAAGAAGCTGAGTCCCAGTAATTTGGATTCAAAATGTAAAATCCAAAGTAAAGTACATAGTTCAGAAAAATTTCAGTCATCTAAATTAATATGTAATACTCCAGATCTCAAAAGTAGTGTATCTGCTGATAGTTTGTCTCAAAAAATTAATCTTTCATCTACAGAAAATTTGAAATCTGTCTCTGATAATTTTCATCCATTTCACTCAGATAATTTGTCTGTTGAGGAAAAAAAGAGCAGTACACTTGATGAATCAAACAAGTAATTAGATACTTTTTATTTTATATTTATTCAAATTGATTGGTTAAATTGTTTTCAGTATGAAATATAAATTTAATTTAATAGAAGTATTTTTATTGATTATTGTAAGTACTTTTATGACATCAGATATTTGAAAAAAGAAAGTTAATAATATTTTAGTTTTGTTCATTATTTTAAAGAGTATTGAAAACATTTAATTTAATGTTGTTTTATAAATAAATTTTTACAGAAGTTCATTTTACATGCTAAATGAAGCTTTTATTGGTACACCGCAGGAAAATGTAAAACAAGTAAGTATATAGCTTTTACTAAAATAAATAATTTTTTATTTCGTTTGAATTAAGAATAAAAATGCGCTTATTTATAAGCATGCTTTATTCAAGTGTTGTCTATTTGTATGTTTGTATTCTGTATGCTCATATTTGTTATATTATTTAATTTGGAGTTAAAATAACATGCTGAATAATGATTATTGAAGGAGTTAAAGCAATCAGAATCAGCAAAATATTCGTAAGTTTGCAGGACTAGTTTTGAAGGTTTAAATGTAGAACCTTCTTCTTCAGCAACAGAAGTGCAATGGTTGAATGAATGTAGTGCAACTTTATGAATATTGCACTGATTCTTGTTGCTTTAATTCCTCCTATAAAAGCTCAATTTTAATTTTATTATCTCTTGTTTTAATAATTTTATTATCTTTCATACATGCATAAATGATTTTTGCATTGAGTTTGTCTTTCTCAGTTTACTTTCGTGTGAATATGTTATATATATCAATAATTATTGTTGACTGTGGTAGTGTTCCCAAGCAGCATGATTTAGCTCCAGTTGTGGACAAGCCTGATGTAACAAAACATACTCATAACATCTGCTTTTCATTTGATGTAACCCTGATTGATTCTCAATAACCCCCTTTTGTTTTTATAAATAAGGTTATAAATTAACTGTAAATTGGTGTATTTTTGTTCCATTTTGCTAGCAGGGGTTTATTTTGGAAATTATGGGATCCTAGCATTAAAAAAAAAAGTGTATGGAATGGTCATGGTTTGGTACTTTTTTTGAAATTGGATAAACAATCTTGGTGAAACATTCGCGACTGCACTCCAGTTCATTTACAGTTGATAGAGTTAGCATTTATTAAATAGGCAATTTGATATAGAAGACAAAACAGTAATAGATTGAAATAATTACCTGCAGGAAATTTTATTCATAGCTTTCTAAACATCTTTCCAGTAAAATCGGAAGGTTTAACAAAATACCAGAAATCTATGAAAGCCTTTTTATGAAGCATAAAAATTAAGTAGATAGTATACAGATTAATTATTAGATAAAAAGGCTTTAGTTTCTTTGGAATTCCACTGGCACGATTGGCTCCAATTAATCCACCAATCTCCACCAATTAATGTTTCTATGGTAGCCAACTTTCGTCTTCGGTGGGATAATATGCAAATATACATATATCTTTAAAAAGGGGTGAAGAGAATTGAAAGCTTTGATTGTCAAGGTGCTTATGGAAGTGTATGTATATGTGTAATGACATGTGTAAACACATTGTATATGTGTAATGAAATTTTAACGCATAAATTCTTTTGAAAAGCCCTGATGCTATTATCCGTTTTAGCATTAATTTCAGTCTGATTGTCCTATCTTTTGACAATAACCTTGCACTGCATTTTTCTTTGCATTTGTTTTTTGCATGCTTGTGAAAGTTAAATTTTCTACAATTTGTATTTACAGATTTACTCTTAATTACTTAAATATTTTTTGTTCGTAGTACCTTATCGGGCTGGTGAGCACACTTGTGCTCATGAGCACAAGGTTGGGCACTGCTGTTCTAAGGTCTTTTTAAATAAGAGTTGGGTTTATTTAAACCTTCATCTGACTTTATACTTACTTTTAGACATAGCGATAATTTGCTTCATGTCTACCAGGGGTTTGGGACTATTTAGCTTTTACTACATCAAGTAAAACCTCATAGGTACTTTGTCGAGAGATTGCCAAGTTAGGAGATAAAACACGCAGAAACTGGTATTGGAATATTGGTTTGCATATTGAAAGAAATTTCTAATTGTTAGAAAAGATGCTTAAAGAGAAGGGAATTAATATAAATTAGCCAGAACGTCTGGAAAAGATTCAAATTAAAAAAAGATGAACAAATATTTTGTTGAGTACTGTTGCTACAAAACGTAAATGTTTTGTGGCTTTTAATGTCTAGTTATTTTAATATAGTTTAAGAGTCAATGTCATAAATTACATGTATTTTAAACCATGACATATAATAGTGCATTCTACTTGTGGATTTATTTTATTGTATCACAAAAGTGAAGTTCAGGCATAGCTAATATCTTTAATTGAATTTATTCAGTTCCCATTTGTTGATGGGTCCTTAATTATTTTCATTAATGGTCCTTAAAAGTACTTAATTTCCATTTGTAGAAATGTGTATTGCTGTATGTGTTACTGACAGTACAGTTATCAATTTGCCATTGTAATTACCGTGTCTGCAACCACCATAAATATCTTTGGGAAACTTTCTTGCAGATATGCCTGAATTTGTGGTAGCATTTTAAATTTCCTGAAGTGTACATTCTGGCAAGAAGTTTATTGCAGTGCTGTGATTACTGTGCATTGTGTCTAACATATTAAGCTGCACGAAACTACTACAAGATGTTTAAAATAAATTAAAAAAGAAAGATTTTGGACCAGATTTTGTATCAAAACTAAAGTGTTCCCAGACTGCTATAAAAAAAAGATTTTAAAGGAATTCTTTAGTGTCTGTGGTATCATCTATGGCAAATTAGGTACAAGATGTTTTTCTTGCCTTTGTACTTAAAATTGTGATTTTATGGGATTTAAGGTTTCGATTCATGGAATTTCTTATTTAGATTGTGTGCTTTTTTTTCAAACTGATTCATAACATGCATGACAGAAATATAAGCCTTATCTATCAAATTTTGTATTTTTCTTTCTCCAGTTTTGTGTCAATTTACAATTATGTGTTTTTATCGAGTACAGTAGAACTCCAATTATCTGAATCAATTGGGACTGGACCCCATTCAGATGATAAAAAATTCGGATACTTGGATTTTTTCCGAAGAAAGGGTCTACATACACTTTAATTAATTACTATAGGTACTGTATGTAGAAAATTTTAGGGGGCGGGAAACTAGTTTAAAAAAAAAAGGTCGTTTCAGTTAATTGAAATGAAAAGGTAACACTGACGTACATCTTATATTCAGTACTTACAAGTGCTGAGAAAGTAATTGATTGCTGAACATATTGGTCAAAGTAAGCTGTTTGACTGTCTTCATCTGTTTGCGGGCAGCCAAGTCATGCATCTACTTGGCAATGAGAAGTTGCATGTGCTTACACTCCGGCTGACGCTCCATCCACTTCAACTCAGCTTCAAGGCCAGCAAACGCTTCACTAGCTGATGGTCCGGTGTTTGCTTCAACTTTGATATTAAGGTCATTTTCTTCCTCGACACTTTCTTCTCTCACACTTTCAATAAGTTCATTATCAATTAGAATTTGAAACCTAGGGTCTGACAAATCACACACCATTTGCTTCTTTTAATGTGTAAAATGGTTGATTATCCAACACCGTATATGTCAGCCAACTGTTTACCCATAACTCGTTTATCTGATTGCTTAATTTCTAGTTTATCTGCTAACGACATTACCTTTGGTTCTTCAGCAAAACTTTTGTGAACCATCTGATAAATTAAATTCTGTCTAAAATTTTTATGTTTCATCCCAGGATTTTTCATTTTGAACAAAATGAAAGCATTCAAAATAGACAGGTCTAATAAGTGAAAAAATAATTTTTTTGTCCACTTCAGAGTTTTCCGCCCAAATATGTAGCTATTAGCCATTCGGTCGCTGAGATCTACATAACCCATATTGGTGTTATAACAAGCTATAACATTTGGCTTTTCGGATCCAGTTTCTATTTCTCTGGATGGATTATGGATGTTGCTCAGCATAAAAACCTCTCGCTTATCCTTCCAGCATGTAGCTACCATACCCTGTGAAAATAATTCTCTGCATTCACCTTTTTTCATTCGTGGAGAAGCCATATTCTTCGGATAATATTTTCGATTTGACCTAATGGTACCACAGCTGTTTATTTCATACTTACGGTGAAGTTCAAGAAACAGTTGTGGGTATGAAAAGAAATTGTCCAAATTGTCCTTTTCCTTTAACGCATTCAAGAAGTCCAGTGACAGTTCGATGTGCAGAACATTTTTCTCTATCGCCTAAAACCTTACCCTTTCCCAGATACACACGCATCTTGAATGTATATCCATTTTTATCTGCATGTTTGTAGACTTTAATATCGAAACGTTTTCGCTTTTTCGGGATGTACTGGCGAAAGAATACTCGGCCTTTAAAAGCAACGATAACTTCATCAATCGCAAGTTCTTCTGTAGTTTCATATACTTCTTTGAAGCGAGAATTTAATATTTCAAAGACATTCCGAATCTTCCACATGTGGTCATACTCGGGATCTTTTTTATTCGGCGCTAATTTATTATCAGAAAAGTGAAGAAATCGAAGAAAGTTTAGATATCGATCTCTTGCCATGGCTTTTCCAAAAAATGGAATTTCGATCATCTCAGTCAGTCAACCAGTAGTCTTTTAAACTATCTTTATCGATGTGCCGCATAAGCAGAGTCAGAGCTAGGAATTTCCTTAGCTCCAAAGCACTCACATTTTTCCATTTCGCAGAATGAGCTTTTTTTGAGACGCTTTCAGTTAACTCGAAAAACTGCTCAGTATATTTATTTGTTTCGAGTGTTATAAAATCGTGTAAATGCATTTGAAATATGCATTCGAAAAAATCAATTTCATTATTGCATTCTGTAGCATTTCCTTTTAATGCGTTAATTCCTTTAAATGAATAGGTATCCGTTTCCATCGAAATATCAGGATCAACCCAGTTTATGTCTTCCAGATGAAATTCATTAATATATTTTCCTTTGTCTGCAACATCTTCCGACACAGACTGAAATTCCACAAAGGAAAACACCTCTTTTCCTTCATCATTATCAATTTCACATTCGGAATCACTGTCACCAAAAGCTTCATTTTCAAGATCTTGAAACAATTTCTCAATTTCCTCTTGAGTTAAACCTTTTTTCTTATATATATAGCGAAAGCAAAGCAGTATTAGTGCAGAGTTCTAGAGAACAAGTGAATCACGCAAAACACAACTAAAGAACATATAGAAAGAACAGATATTCTTTGACACAACTGAAAGATTTTGCCCCAAGCTAAGATTTCACTGCTGAGGGAAAAGAAAGGGAATTTACGAAACCCCACAGTTGGGAGGCGTGAAGGTCATCTCGCATAAGTGGCAAGGGAGGACTGGAGGATGGGGGGGGAGAATTCCCTGGTCGATATTTCGGCCACAGCCATCTTTTTGAGACACTATAGCTCTGGCTGATTCTTAGGCCACCTGTCTTTTAAAGGTTAACATAACTTCCCTCAAATTGTGACTAATTTATGTTGGCAAAAAGCATATTTTGTATTTTATGAAAGGGAAATTATTTTTTAAACTATAAACGTTTGTTAAAAGAAATTTTAGTAAAAAAAATTATTTCTTTTCATTATAATGCATAGTTGACATATAGTCAATCTTGGGTAAGCTGCCACTCAGGTAGGAGAAAACATTTCCAGTTATTGAAAATTTTACTTATTTAAAAAAGCTGAAAGGAATTTTGAGTTTCTATTTAACATTCAGTTTTACTTTTCAGAGTTTGAGTAATTGAAGCTGTACTATAAATATAATGTGATAAATTCTTTGTATGTTATAAATGTTAAAAATACAAAATTTTGAATAAAATGCTTAATCACAATCTTGCACTTCTTTATATTGTGACCCCAAATTATTGTAATTCTTTACATTCAGTGATAAAGTAAAGAACCAGTTTCTATTCTGTTAGAGTGGTGCCGGTGAAAAATGTGCCACCTTTTTTTGCCAACAATTCTCACTAAGTATAAAATAATAATAGAGTTCAAAAGACTTAAAAAGAAAAATGAAGTTAGTTCTGTTGGAAAAAAATATGTAAAAAGTATTTTTTTAATTTCTTAAAGAATAAAATTTCTTTTTTAACCTAAAATATCATACACATAAATAAAAAATAATGAAACAAAATGAAATTGAATCTAAACAGGTGGTATAAAATTACACTCAGTATTGGGGGGGGACTTATTCAGTTTTTGAATATAACCAACACCACATAAAGTCTATCAAATATGACTCTAAATGGTGGCGAGCAGTGCCCTGCTGACATTTATTTTTCCATTTAGCAGTACCCCACAATTGCTGCACAGTTTGGGTATGACATCCAGTTCCAGGGTCTACAAAATTGTAGCTGTCACTGTGAAATGTTCAAATCCAGCATATCGTAATTACTCTTTCTTACATCCTTTCTAGGAGTCTAAAAATATATTGCTGCCTTTCCTGAATGGGAGTCATCAATGTTGTAGCACAACAATCGGGAACGGTGACCAGAAAACATTTTTTGCTTTCCCAGCATAATCCCCCAAACCTCCATTTTTCTGGAAGCATATGTCCAACATTGTTTTTTATTTTTCTGAAAAGATTTTCGTCTTCGATTGTTTTGCCCCCACCGATTTTATTTCTTTTATGAGACATTAAAATATTTGCACATACTTCCCTCAAGTAGTTATTCCAATCTATTGTCGTATTATGGCTCTTTTCTAATTGAAGTTTACAATATTCAATCGATGTCAATTCTTGACACCACAGATAAAATGAAAGGCATTGAGGAAAGAAAGACACGAGCCTTCAAACGATGTTTTTGTTCTCAATCTTTTTTTTTTTTTTTCACTGCAAGAACATATATAACAGAGCCATAAAGGAGCTTTGTTCGAGTCAAAAGTTATCTTCATCGGATGATTTAGAGAATAAAGTCTGTTGCTATGAATTATTCTTTTGCCCTAAAAGATTCATATGGCAGTCTCTTCATCATTAGGTAACTGCCAAATTGTGTAATCCATCGTACTAGAAAAAGTGAAAAATATGGCAAAAAAATAACCAGTGATTATATTTCAAATGAAAACTAGAAATCTCTAATTACAATAATTAAAATGTAAATAACAATTACTCATAATAATGAATGACATTATTTCAAATGAAAAATAGAAGTCTGGAGCCACAATATTTCAGAGCACGAAAATGTTTGGTAGCATTTAATAGTATATTTAATTGGATGCTATTCTATAAATTTTAATAGGAATGATTTGGTGTAAACATCTAAAATTTCACAGCATTTATATTATTTAAATGCATTTATGTCTTAAATTTTTTAATCAAAAGCTGCCATGCTAATTGGTAGAAATATTAATTACATATTGTTAAAATTTAATATCTTTAGTCTGAATTAATTTGAATTTAGAATGAATTTAAAAAAAAAATTTCCCAATAATAAAAGTATTACTAACCAAATGAAAATAGCCGTAAAAGACTTACATTTTTAGTTGTTGAAAACAACCTTGAAAAGTATTTAGGTAGCAGAATTATTTTCATTATAAAACAACCTTATTAGGTTTTGTGAAACATTCCTGATTTTGTGTATTCAATACTTATAATATACTCTGTGTTTCATTGTAGCATGTAATTTACATTAATGTCTTTATTTTTAAATATAATTTTTTAAGCATTTTTATATAATTACAGGAAATGTGTACTTCTACTCCTGTATTGACATCTTCACCTCAAAAGAACCCTTCTGTAAATTTCAATAAAGTCAAACGGTTTATACTTCAAAAAAGAAAAATACCTACTCTAGCTAGTCCAAGCTCTGATATTCAGAGGGAAATGAGTTTGCTGCATCATAAAACTTTAAAATCACCATCAGTGCATAAAGCTGACGAAGACCAGGAGTATGTATCATCTAACTCAAATTCTGTGAAACCACAAAGTTTACCATTGCAAGATAATCAGAATAAAGAATGTGTATCAAAGGTTGATTTAAGAAATGTTCTTGTGAGAGAGAGTGAAGTAGAATTACAACATTTTAATAAGCATCTTAGGTATGGAATTAGTTTTTATCATTTTTAATTTAACTTATTTCATATTGTTATGCATCAGTGTTAGCAGTAATATATCTTTTTTGGTATATGCATGCTATTATACAATTATTTTCTTTTAAAATGAGTACAGTATAGTTTTGTATTTTTGTTTTTTAAAAAAAATTCATTGGGCATTTAGTCAACTGTCAGATGTTACGATTTAAATATTTTTGATTTTTCTGTAGAAGCTAAGCCTTGTTTTTAAGATTGTTTAAGTTTATTAATTTAAACAGCTGTCTGATTTCAAGCCCTGTTTTTAAGAATGTTTAAGTTTATAAATTCATTGCAGCAAAATTGTTTTGTATCCTAATGCTTGTAAAATACAAACTATTTAATCATATTTAACCATACTTGGATAATAGTGAAGTAGATTTTTATAGTTACTTCATTTTGATGATAAATTGAATTTATTATAAGAAGGGAAAAAATTATTTTCATGATTTAGTAGATTTCACCTTTGTTATTGCTGTATTGCATTCAGCTTCCTTCCCTTATTGCACACTTCTTCTATATTCTAAAGTTAGTGCTTTGTTCTGACAAACATAGTAGGTTTAAGAAGAATACTTTTCTGAGATTCAGAGACGAAATGAGCATGTTCAAAATTTGCTTGTTTAACATTCAATAAATTGAGAATCAGTAAGTTTGCTAAATCATCAGAAAAATCTCATAATCAGACAACTGTTTAAATTTTCACAATAGGTTACGTTGTTAATATATATCTTTGGAAGTTGGAATTGCCATAATTTCTATCAATGAGAATCAAACTCTCAACTTTTTCCTTTTTAGACAGATATTGTGATATCATCCCCTTCCTCATCCACCGCCTCATAGAGAAATAACTCCACCTTCTTGTATTTTTAAATATTTATTTTACAAACACAAACTAATACTAAACTACTACTATCTAATAACTGAAATATATAAAGTATATAATTAAGTAATACAAGTTAATTTCGGTTTCATTAATGGCTCCCACGAGCCTTTCGCTATGACCTCTCTGTTGGTCTCCCTCTTGGAAACTAAACTTTTGGCGCCTCTCCAGACTAAGAGTTAGCGCCCTCTATACATCTTGATGGTTGGCGTCACCCATACATCACACCCCTCATCCAAAGATTGAAATAGGGGTGAAAGCCTTATTGAAATACGACAAATTATGGTGACGTCAAACAAAAGAGTTACTTTACTACTAAAGTCTACAAATCAATCAATACTGAAGTTGAAAGATAGATAACACAATACTTGATACAGGTTACTTCTACACCTACTACAAGACTTCTTCTAAAACTGTAATATATAAATGATTAAAAATTAGTACTAATCAAACAATTCTAAATGCAATAGAATACTTAAAGTTTTCTATGGTATACTTAAAAGTCTCTAGGAGAGTAGCTGAAAAAGAAAAGACACACACAAAAAAGTAATAATATTAAGAGTTCATAAATGTCTATGAAAAGTTCTTTCTTTCACATAAGTCACTCAATAGTCTCTAGTCTGGACAACGCATCAGCATTGTTTAACTTAGCACCTGGGCAATGTGAAATTGTAGTATCGTACTTTTGTAATGCTAAAGCCCATCTCTGTAACTTAGAAGATTGTGGTGCGTTCTTTCGTGATGAAAGTTAACGGATTGTGATCAGTTATCAGTTCCACAGGTGATCCAAAAATCCAAGTTTCAAACTTTTTCAAGCTTCCAAATAACAGCATAAGCTTCCCTCTCGATAGTTCGGTCCATGCTTGTTGTGGTTTTGGTTAAGTTTCTGGCTGGCGTAACTAATCAGGTACAACTTTCCGTTTTTCCTTTGAGATAAGCAGGCTCCAACACCTGTTGAAGATGCATCACATTGAATTATAAAAGGTAACCCTGGAACAGGGGTATAAAGACTAGGTGCTTCCATTAGGCATTTCTTTAATTTAATGAATGCTTCGTAGTGTTTTTCTGTCCAGCACAGCTCTTCAGGACTTCTTCTTTTCGTGAGCTCGGTTAATGGATAAGCTGTTTCGGCATAATGTGGAATGTAGTCTCTGTAATTATTACATAGGCCTAGAATGCTTTTCAATTGTTTTTTTGTTTGAGGTCTAGCTAATTTCTGGATAGCCTCCACTTTCTCTGAATCTGTACGATGACTGCCGGAACCGATGATATGTCCTAGATACTTAATATGAGTTTTAGCAAAGGAGCATTTCTTGGGATTTACGGAAAACTAGTTCTAACAGTTTTGAAAAAATGGTGTCAAGATGTACTAAATGTTCATTCCAATTATTTGAATAAACAGCTATGTCATCGACGTAGGCTCGAGCAAAACCTTTGTATTTAGCAAGGGCCTGGTTCATCACTCTCTGAAATGTTGCAGCGGCGTTGCGTAGCCCGAAAGGCATAACTTTAAATTGATACTAAGCTCGATGTGTCTTGAAACATGCTAATTCTTGATTCTCTCTTTCTAATGGCATGGCCCAATAGCCTTTGAGTAAATCAATGCTGGATATCACTTTGGCTTTTCCAATGTGGAATAAGAGTTCCTCTTTAGGATTTTCCATAGGGAAGTCATCTGGTTTCGTTACTGCATTAAGGGATCTAAAGTCAACGCAAAAGCGAAGATTACCGTCTTTCTTCAGAACGCATACAATAGGGTACGAAATTTCAGCGTTGGTTTCTTCAATCAATCCCAATTGACAACATTTCTTCGATTTGTTTATCTACTTGAGGCTTCAATGCTTCTGGAATTCGATAAACATATGGCTTCTTTCTTTCATTGTCATTTAATCTTATTTTATGTTCTCCTACTTTGGCAATTTTGTACCTTATTTATAAATAAGTTTTCATATTTTCTTAACAAGTTCATCATCATTTCATTCCTTTTATCATCATCTAAATGACTTAAATTTACTTCGCTAAGATGAAAATGATCAGACTTGTCACTCACACTGGGTGTGGGATGGACTTCTCCTAGTTCTTCTTCATTCTCAAATATTACACCTACTGCCTGTACTTTTGGATTAAATTTTCGAATTTTATTTACATGTACTCTTCTTATTGTACCATCTGTCAGTCTGACTCTGTAAGAATCTGGATTACAACGAGATACTATTTCTGCAGGTCCTATTCATATGGCATATAATTTATTACTGGAATCTGGAATCAGCAGGTACACTTGATCTCCAGGGTTGAATTCTTTATATATAGCCCTTCGATTAGCATATCTTGCATATGCACCTTGTTTCAATTCTGCAGTTATAGATGCTTGCTCTGCTGCTATTTCTAAATTCATCTTTAGCTCCTGTAGATAATCAAAAGCACTTTTACCCAATTTTATTGGTAATGGAATTTCTCCTGACCAGGACGATTTTAATACTGACAACGGACCTCTGGCCTCTCTTCCATACATTAATTTAAATGGGGATACTCCCGTAGTACAATTTCGAATTTCGCGGTAAGCGAATAACAGGTATGGTGTATGTTTGTCCCAATTTTTAGAGTCGTTTCTAATGATATGATGAAGCATACGTTTTACAGGGTTGCCACGCTACCTGGAAAAGTCAGGGAATTCGAAAATTGACCAAAATATTCAGGGAAAAGTCAGGGAATTAAGTATTTTTGTCAAAATCTGGAAAAGTCAGGGAAGTTCATACAACGATCCAGCCAAAAAAAGCGATTTTTGCGCCGACGTCGGAAGAGGTAACTTTTTTGGCGAATTATGTATCACGTGAGTGTCATTGGGGTAGCTGGCATAGAGCCAATTTTCGAAGCTCCAATTTGATTGTCTTTTAGAAAGGCAAAGCAACTTTTGGTTTCCAATATTCTCGAGAATCGCATGTGCAGTGCATGAACTAAAGAAAGTACCTGTTCTCGTATAAAACAAAATGGGTTTAATCCTAGTATACGGTACCATGGAGGTTAGAATCAAAGAATATGTATTGTAAAGAAGGAAAACCTCTCTGCAACAGATGTGGCTGTGGCTCCGTTCCATCATAGAGGGAAAACAGCTGTGCATGTCTGATATATCTGTTGCCAAAGCTCGAAACCGGTGTCGAAGTTCGAAGGTCACGTTATCAAGAGTTCATAAAATGAATATCGTTTAAAATTTCTTTAACCATTGCGCTAAAAAAGACGTGCCACGCCCGTCAAGATGCTTTTGTCTCAAACCGCGAGCGACGTGAACACGTCGATAAGCATTTATCGCAAAAATGAAAATAACGTGGTGCACACGTCGCCTAACAACGAGATTGTTTATTTCTCGAGTTACAGCTCTGGATTGCACTCGCAGATGCGGAGCGGCGTAAATGAGACACTTTACCGCTTGTTATATTGTAGCGCATGGCACCGCAACCGTGAAGTTTAGTCTTCGCGCAAGTGGTTAAACTCTAAAGGAAAAGAAAATATTTTTTGGCGCAAGTAAATTAATTCATGGATTAGTTATTTTCAGGAAAAAAAAAAAAAAAAAACTACGAAAATCTGTTGTTAAAATTATTGCGAAAAATCCAAGAAGAAACGTCCTTTGATAAAACGTTTCTTCTTGGATTTTTCGCAATAATTTAAAAGCGGATTTTCGTAGTTTTCTTTTTGTCAAAAATCGTTTCTTCTTAACACTTGTTTCTCAATTTCCTGTACACATCACGGAGAGGGAAATTCTGGCCGCCAGGTTCCGTCGCCAAATCCCTTGGCAAATTTTCCCTCCACATTCCAGCGGCGTAATAGCATTTTACTTGTATGGAACCTTTTCTTCTTTACATAGACGTTCTTTGGTTAGAATAATGATGGGATTTGGCGACATCTTGATGCGCAGTAAACGGGTCATTTTGGTCTTGTCCGCGACAATTTTCAAAATCGTGCCAAAGCCTTACCGTATACTAGAATTTTACGCAAATCTTTTAAAACCTTTTTTTTTCTTTTAATAAATACCTTGCCATTTTTCAGTAAAATAAAAAAAATAGTAATCAGTCATCTACGCTAGCCATGTAATATA